CCCCAAAACCCCAAAACCCCAAAACCCCGTGTTTAAAGAATATAGGTGTTTTCGAATTAATTGAATAAATTTAAAAATGCAATCAACAGAGCAGCCTTAGCCCCTGATGTCTTATAAATTATACTAATCCCCTACTCTAATTTATTTTGTATTTAAACTTAAATTAAAAACAACATTTAGACATCAATTGGCTTTATATCTCAAGTTACAATATTCATTTTGTTTGGAATAGTATTGACATTACTAGTAAATAAAGATAAAAAGTATCGCAGAAAATTGAAGGAGTCAAGGAAAAATTAAGCTATGAATATGTCTAATTCAATGGACCCCAATTCTACCCAGAGAAATTTTAATTTGAGTTAGTCGATTGTTCTTAATCAAAGAAACATTGTAAGCACAAGTAATGATGGAGATCTGATTTTCACTGTTAACTCTATAAATGGTAAGACTTTCTAATGATTAATAAGACTGTAGATAATAATATGATGTCATTTGATATTCATGGGAAATCCACCTTAGACAAGAGATAAGCCTACTTGAACAATATCTAGTAGAACTTTGATGAAAAGAAAAAGCAAACTCGCTTTAATAACTTTATGGATGAGTTGAATTACAATTCTTAGGTTGACCAGAACGGCACCTCCTTCGATCAGAATGAAGCCTAGGGCCCTTTACCTTCAAAAATAAGCAATATTGAAGGGTAAATAGAGGAAGAGCCTATCTAATACTTTGAAAGTCTCTAAAAGAAATCTATGGATGAAAGTACCATTAATGTTCAACAATAAATGCAGGAACAGCAGCAAAACTCAAAAAGAAGATTTAAGCCAAGAAGCTTTGTCAAAAAGGCATATTCATTTTACAAGTAATCTAATCCACTATTTAATACTTGGAAATATTATATGAGGCTTATGCCAAGATGGGTCAGGGCTTTCCTAATTCTCTTAACTATTGAGTACAACATTATAATGGTCGTGTTGCTCTACAAAGCCGCCATTGAAAGATTTGGTTATGATGAAGATATTAGTGTTTCAAAATGGTGGACTACCATGGAAATCTCCATTCTGGCATCCATTTCAAGTTATATAATATTATTTCTTTCAACCAAATGCCTTTCGATAAGCGTCGCATAAAAAATAAGCTCTGCCAAGGACAGTTTAGATGTTATTAAGAAATTGTAAGAATTTAATCAAATAATTGTTTTAGAAAGGACATTCGCAGAATTTCAGGATTTTACTAGAGAGTTTTATTTTTCCTTAGTTGTAGCATTTCAATAGTAGGGCTGTTTATAACAACAACTTAAACAACCATTCTAAACGTGCAAAATGACTACCAGAACTTTAGAATCCACTTCACCGTCACGACTCTATTTTCACTGTGGTTCTTGTTAATAGGATATGACATCGCTTATTCAATTATATATACAAGCATATATAAATTAGCGAAGAACAATCTTAAATTAAGGTAGCTGTTTTTGTTTATTAACAAGCAGAGAGCTTGGAAGGTAAAGAGACCTGTAAATTTCTGATAAGTCAATCAAATAATATATAACCTTTTAAAATTTAAATTTGAATCTTACATTCGTTATTTTTTTATTGATAAATTTGACTTAAGGGGTTTTGGGGTTTTGGGGTTTTGGGG